TCTTCCAGTCAGAGGGTCAGATGTTAAAAGAAGCAGTGTACATCAACAAGTCCTTGTCATTCCTGGAACAGGCCATCCTGGCCCTGGCAGACCGTCGCAGAGACCACGTGCCCTTCAGACAGAGTAAACTCACACATGCTCTTAAAGACTCACTGGGTGAGACTGCCAGGCACTTGGTTTTTAACAATGCTGATATTTGAAGTCGAAGCAGCCCTTTGCTGTGTAGTAATACTTAGAAAAACAAAGTATTTGTCTGTTTCTGTAGGAGGAAACTGCAACACTGTGCTTGTGGCCAACATCTACGGTGAGGCTGCACGGATAGAAGAAACCGTAAGGAGTGGGATATATTATATACAAAAGAAAACTCTCTTTCTTGCTGTATGTGGTGTCATTTCAGCTCTGGATGATAATTAATATTCTTTGCAGCTCTCTACTCTGCGCTTTGCCGGCAGAATGAAGTGTCTCCGGGCTGACCCTGCTGTTAATGAACACATGGATCCAGCAGTGAGTTCATATGAAAAAACACGTACCACATCACATGACACAAAAACTACTCTAAGTAGTCATACATGGGTAGAAATATATGTATTATTTTTGTTTACAACCTGCATTGTGCTGTACTGTCAGTCATCAGACAATAGAGTGATCTCATGAAATTTACTGTTGTGATTAGGCTATGATCAAGAAACTTCAAAAGGATGTACAGACGCTGAAAGAGGAACTCTCTTTGTGTAATACATTGGTGAGTAGAGCTAGCAGGAAAATGGTGAGATGGCATGTCTCATGTCTCATGTGTTTATTGTCCTGGTTTACTCCTGCACACTTGCAGATCAGCACAAAATGTATACTTTAATAGATTCAAGGTGTTGCTCAGTTTTATTTTATTCAGCAGGACAGTTTTTGTTAACAAAGAAAAATACTGTAATTCAGCCTTTGTCGTGTTTATTTCAAGGCATTAGAATCAGGAACATATTTAGCTGGTTCATATTAAAATTTAAATTCATTCACCCTTCACCAGGTGAACCGGCCGAGCCTCACGTGCGAGCCGTTGTCTGAGGCCCAGCTGGCGGAGATCCACAGCCATATTCGGAGGTACCTAGAGGGAAGCCTGGATGAAATCAGTGTGAGAACATAACAAAGAGCACAGCTGTGAATACTTCCTCTGCCGTACCAAATTGTGTCTTTGAATTGTCCTTCGAAGGCTTTAAAGTTCTCTCTGTATGACATGTAATTACAGATCATAAGTATCAGGCAGGTCCAAGCAGCGTTCGCACAGTTCAAGCTCGCTGTGCAGTGAGTATCATCTACCTTTTGAAATCTGCAACTTCAAAATGCTAATTTGGAACAAGACTTTAACTTGTTAATGGTACGTGACTCAGCATGTTTATGTATGTATGTGAGCAGGGAACAGGAGCAGAAGGTAAAAGCTCAGCTATGCCAGACCTACAACTTGGTGAAAAAAGATCAGAGTGCTAACACAACTGCTGTCAAGGTCAGCATGGAAATTCTGTTTGTCTCTTGTACCAATGACTGCCTGGTCAGTGAACAATTCATGGTGATTGAGCTTTGATTAGATGTTGCTTTGTAAACTCTTTAGGAGTGGGATACCAGAGGTAGCGCTGAGGATGGGGAGGCCGGCAGCTTTGGGGTTCCTCCTCAGTCACTGAAAAACGGCCAACGCCCAAGTTCGGTCAAAGCCAAAACTAAGAAGCCTAGTGACAAACAGAGGTAAGTGACCATTTTAGATGGAAGCCAGCAAATTCTGCTGATAGTCAGTCTCTTTAAATGTGACAATTTTTGTACAAGTATTTTTTCCCCTCAAGTAAATTTTTGGCAGAAACGTACGTTTCTGTGAAATCAAAACTCCTCATTGAAATTATTCTTGACCACTCTGGGATACAATAGACCAGAGCTTTTCAAACTCTGAGGCACACCTTCCCTGGGGGGCTCGGAGAGAGAGACATGAGGCAAAGATACTGTGTGAAGTATGTTCCCATTGAGAATGTGAAGCAATTGGCATAAAATCTCTTTCTCGGATTTACAAATCTAAACACAGATATGATGCACACATTTTAGATTCAGTGTTACTTAAATTTGTAAATTTGCTTAAGTTCAGAGAAAAAAATATAACTCAGAACTTGCCTGAGAATCGTTTTACATTATTGAGGATCATTGATGTCCCATCAGGAGGGCGGAGGTGCCACAGACTTTGAAAACCCCTGTAACCAATCTGGAAAACAACAGACCATTAAATGAATGATAAAAACACTTTAGAAACTTAACAGCATTCAACTTAACAGTTAAATGAATAAATAAAAACCAACCTAGGTCCAGCTGATTTGTTGTTGCCTGTGTACTCTTTGAAAGACTGGACTAAGTTACATGTGTTACTTTGGTTTTCCTAATGGCACCCTTAATGTTATTATCCAGCCAAAGCAAGAGACTAGGAGAGGGGAGTCCAGTTCCAAGGAAGCGTCTGGAGAGTGCCTCAAAATCAAAGGTGAATTCTGTCCAGACGCCTGAGAGGGAGTCACAAGAACCAGATACAGAGAGCCAGGACACGCAGGAATCACAACCACCTGGCAACGAACCCCTCCACCCTGAGTATGTGTATGATACGTATATAATTTTATCTATGAAATGGTCAGCTCAGAGATCATTTGGTAGTCCGATAAATGGAATGTGTATTGTTTTTTTTGATGCCCTCATCACTGCCCAGCTCTGCACGAGCCAAAGAGGAGGCCTTTGAGGATTTTAAGGTGGGACAAGGCAGCCAGATCAACCGCATCTTCAAAGAGAACAAGGCCGTGCTGCTGGAACGCCGCAGTCTTCTTCGACAGCTCACTGAGGAGGTCAACACTGTCAAGAGAGACATCGACTGCACCATGGCCACCATACAGCAGCACAAGGAGATAAGAGAATGCCAAGGTACTGCTAATGTTTGTCATCAAGAAAATACCATTCTTTCATTTGTGCTTTGCTGCTGTTAAAGGTCCCATGAAATGGAACCTAGTCTTCCCTAATGTGAGGTATTTGTTGTTGAAACACATTCCTTAACAAGCGGAATATCAGCTAGTGAGAGAAAATCCTCATTTAATTCCAGTCTGCATCAACATGGCAGCTAAGACTGGTGCTGAGGCACTTTACCAGCCGCAAAGTTTGCGTGTCACAGCTTTTATTAATGGAACTTAATGGAACCTAACCCAAAGCTCAGAAAAACCTAGTAAATGGACCTTAGAGTAATGATTATTCTATCACACGTACTGCTCGTGCACTAAATGTTTTGTGTTTACACCAAAAATAAAGGTATAATGGTTATTGTAATGGGAGAGTGCTTGTCTGCACAGTGTGGGTTTGTACCGATGGTTCATGGGACTTAAAAGGTTAAATAATGTTTTCATTGTGTTTTTGTATGAAGGTCAGTATTTGGTTGTGGAAGGGGAGCCACTGCTGCTGGAGCCAGATGCCCCTTTATTAATGCAGCTCAGAGAGCTGAAGGCCCTGTACCGGCAGAGATACGAGGTGCTGCGTGACATTAAGGCAGAGGTCAACTACTGCCAGCACCTTGTGGATCAGTGCAGGCTGCGCTTGCTCTCTGGTCAGTTCTCCAAAGATCTTCTATCTACAGCTTCCCTGACACAGCTTACAGCATTCATTCATACATACAAGCTCAAAAAATAAGCAATTGCTTGTGTGTCCTAGAATTTGAGAACTGGTATAAGAAGTTTTTCCTGGTGCCTGAGGAAGAGCTGGACATAACTATGGAAAAGACCCTCGAACAAGTGAGTCTGCCCCACATTCATAATACATGTTTCAAGTAGAAGCACAATAATGCTTTTGTACATAAAAGGTACAGGTGCAAGTCCCACTCAAGCAGTGGAGGAAATTATTAATTTTACATATAGTGAAAGTTGTGACTAAATTGTGGTAAGGAGTTATTATCTGCTTCCCTGCTGATCTTAGGATGAGGGTGCAAAGGAGAGGCTTGCTCCTGGCAGCCCCAGCGCTGAGTCATTCTACAACACCCACCACAGAACTCAGAAAAGGGTGGGTTTCAATTCTGTTATGTAATGACGTGCAGTGAATGGTGGTAAAGGTCTTTGCCAAAGTAGAGATATATTAACAATCATTAATCTGTAAACAAAGATTTGTCTATGTCAACAGAGGAATAGCAGGGCACAGAGGAACTCTTCTGGACAGAGAAGACCTCCGATTCCACCTGTTACCTAAGTGAGTTTTATGTGCAAACTAAAGTTAGTGAACTAGTGAGCGTCCACATGTGTGTAATTTTCCATTTTAGTGTCAACCAACCAGCCTCATTCACTTCTCCACTGCAGGGTTTTCTACATTTAATTTGTACATCAAGCACAAAAGACACAACACAATGAATCAGCTTCTTAAATGAAAAGTAAAATTTATTATTCCTGAACCACAAAATAGACTTCTTTGGTTGTACAAATTCACTAGTTACAGTCTTGTATGAGCTCTAACCCTTGACCCCTTTCCCTCCGACCTATTTGCAAAGTAAAAGCCCCCAAAGAGAACTCAAGACAAAAGAATAAAACACACAAACATGAAACACTGCATTAATAATGTAGTGAAACCCATCTGAAAAACGATTTACCTACTGTAAGTTTAAAAAAAAAAAGAAATATCAGCCATTGCAAATGTTATCAAACAAACTGAATTTCAGTCAGTGAGAGCAACATGGAAAGCTATCATTAGAAGACCTACATTAAATTAACAAATGCTACTATGCTGTGATTCTGCAAAAATACCCATCAGATACATAAACTGACAGTGTGTCAAGCAGTGAACTGAATGAGATCAATATCTTGAGAGGGATTTCTAAATTGGTTCTGCCTCTCGCAGCTCTCCCATTAACAAACCAATATACATGCAGAGAGTGTCCTGATACCAGGCCTGTCCAAACCCAGACGCATCAGCAGTCCAGACACTCGCTTGGTCTAGGTCAAGACTGGCTCAGTTTCAAACCCAAGTTTGCTTTCCTTTCATTATTTGTACATTATTCACACAATAAATGATTTTTCAGTGGCATCAGATTTAAATTAACCATAGACAGAAATATAAAACACCTGCTACCTTCACGTCACTCTGGAATACCTCCATATAGCTCTAGGATAGAAATTAATGATTCACATTGGTAAAATAAAAGATACCCTAAACAGGGAGGATAAGTACCGTTAATTAGTACATTATGCTAAAAATGTATGTTGTCAAACTTTGATATTCTCAACCTTTTCTGTGAAACTGCCAGCTCAATGCTGCAACCTCGAGTGGAGTTATATTCTATACAAGGGGAATGTAACAGTCAATAAATCTGGACCGATGACTCACCAATATTTTGGTCCAACCCATTGGTGAGTTGTGACACAGATGTGCAACAGCTGTACATTGTCCAAGCAATCTAATTTGTAGATATGCTTCTTTTAAAAACCCCTGGAGAATAAGTGTATATAATAGATTAACTGATATGTGATTTATTAGTTAAAAGCTTTGACCCATATCTATTACACATTTTTGTAATGATAAATGATTAGAAGCATCAGTCATGCTCTTTGTGCCCAAAAGGGCTGGAAGGGTTAAAATGGAACACCTTTAATTTTAGTAAAACAATAAATTAAGATATTCTTAAAAAGCTGATCAGTGACAGTGCAAAAAAAGATATGTACTGTTTGTTGTTTTTAAAGCTCCACAACTTGACTATGAAGGTAGCAGGATGTTCCCTCAATTAATATATACACTCCTGTCCACCCCAGGTTAAAGAAACCCCTGACATTTTACAATCTATTCACTGAAAGCCTAAAAATATCATTTCAAGGAGTTAGTATAGCTAAGACCCATTTCTTTTCTCTTCCAGTATGTTTTTTTTTTTCTAAAACAGCAGAATCATTGGAGGTGCGAGAATTAAAAACTAAACTCTTTAAAACAGATCAGCTAAAAAGGTAAACTGAGTGTAGAACAAATAAAAACAAATGGTCTGTAAGTAGCAATCCTAGCTAACCACACAAGCTCGTTCTTGCCCTTGAGGGACTGTTGAGCAACTTGCCAACTCATTCACAGACTGTATAGGCAAGACTGGCACGCAGGATATAAGTGAGTGTGTACGTGTGGTGACTATCAGCTTCTTAGTCTCTGCAGTGGTTATATATAGGAAAGTAAATCTCGCTCTACTGACACTGTAGTGTTTAGTGACTCTGCACCTCCTGTGGATGCACCCACGTGTTACCAGTACTCCACAGTGAATGAAAATGTGTGTCTGTGTTCGCATTATGTCTTCGCATTTCTTCTCTCAGTGTGAGGTGTTACGTGGGCACAGCGGTTTCCAGGCTGCGGCGGCCCTGCCTCAGTTTGCGCTTGTTGCTGTAAAGGGCCATCTCCTCCAGGGCTGAGGTGGCAGGCAGCGGGGTGGAGACCTCAGGACTTGCAGTAGGCCCTAGGCAACACAACAAAAAAAACACAGAACAACTTCAGAATTGCATCTATAAAGCTGCTGCAGTTTAGCTTATTTTCATTTCACTGATTAGAAAGCAGATGGATCCCTTCAACCTGCGAGAGAAGCCCCACATTCAGATCAGCAGCTGGAAAAAAGCAGGACCCAAAGGTTTTGAGCAGAAAACTGAAGCACCCAGTGACTGCATGTTTAAACCTGACACCTCAACAGGCTATATATTCAAACTCACAGCAAGAGTTGGTACCAATAGTTGTTTAAAGAACTCATTTGCTATTACGTCATCAAAATGATTGACATGTGCTTAAGTGACCGAAGCATCGCTGTGCCAGCTGAGTGGGTGGATGAAAGATGACAATTATCTGTAGCAATGCATCCTCATGTCTAAAATGATTCCATCCACAGTCAGAGTTTAAAAAAAGGCCTCAATTCAGACACATTTGCACTTTCAGGAACATTACATCGCCTGCAGCATGTTGCTTCCCTCTGAGTTAAAATCATTAAGAAATACTGTTAAAGAGTCTTCTGATGACTGACCTGCTGCATGTATTTACAAAACATTTAACAACTAAAATGAGCATACTGACTGATAACAGCTCCCTTTAATCACTAGCTTCAGTCAGTGCTTTAAACAAATCCATGCAGTCTGGAACACTGTTAGTGTAAGATCATTAGTTACAAAACAGCAAATCTCTCTTCCACTTTGGTCTCAGCAGCAGGCAGAGCACACCCGTCTTAATACCTGAACCCACAGTTTTCCACACAGGTTAGAGGATAAATGCACAAACTAACACACTCTCACATGTTCCCAAAAACACATGCACACAGGATCCTACCAAGACGAGCTGCTTATCCCAGGTATTCACCTGAATCAAAGTGGGAAAGAAGAAATTGAGGTAATAAATCCATCACTTGAAGTCCACACATCTTTTTCAGGCTTGTGCTGATACAATTTAAAATACTGAATAGCTCCAGTACTGACCTGGGTTAGTGGAGCCATCGTCGTGGAACTGCACGTCATCGACTGTATCAGGGGACTGGAAGACAAGAAGAGACTGTAAATAACTGAGAGGTGGGGGTGTTCTCAGTAACCTGTATCCCAGGGGAAGCCTTCACCGTGTGAGCAGTGGAGCTGGCAGCGAGGGAGACTGAGAACATATGCCAGCCGCTCACAGCAGCTTTAGCAGACAGCACTGAAGCTCCCAATCTGTCAGAGCCACAAAAGCCAGAGTACCTCTACTCGACTAGTCCCCCCTGAGAGATGGGCATGTTAAAGGAAAGGGAGGTTAGATCATCAGTTCCGGGGTTTGTTGTGTAGGCACGTCCACAAAGAGACACCAAACAGAGCGACACTACAGCACCAACAAGAGTCACCAGGCACGACGGAAAAACCAAGCAGCATGTTGAGTTGTTCTGTCTCTGTGCTGATGCCATTATATTACCAAGACCGATAATGTTTTTCTCTTGTAAACTGTGTTGAGAAGCTGTTTATTGTACTTACGGAGCCTGTCAGAGGACCACTATGACCTGCAAGCTGAGGATCATGAGATCAACCTAGTCTGTTTATTAATGGCTGTGCATGACATCTTCTGGGAGGAGCTGGCTGACAGTTTGAAGAGGTCGTTTTATAAGTTTGTTTGTTTTTTAAATGTCACAATTAACGCATCTGCTATTGTTGTTTTGTTTTTGTTTGGTTTTTTTTGGGGGGGGGGGGGCAAGATAAAATACTTTTATTATAGAAATGCGATACAAACTAAATTATATTAACTATCAACTTTAACCAGATGTCATGTTTGCATGAATGTCCATTAAAAAGGTACAATGTCATAATTTAGGGTGAGGCTGGCTTCTAACTGTTTATCATAAATGTTTAATGTTTGCATTGATTGGTTCATGTGACCCTCACCTTGCAGATCATAGCGGTCCCTCTAGTTTCCTTTGTGCAAATATGATGTTACAGTCACTTTACCGACACATGGCCACATCACTTCATATGCAGGAGTCTAAAACATTATACAAACACTTACCATACGGTGATGTCAAATTACATTACATCTACCAAAGGAACAACAAATTGATGTCACTGTGCAACAACTAAACCACACTCAGTGACACACATCTTGACCCATTTTAAAAGACCACTTCCAGACAAGCTCTGCTCACTCCAGCACTATATTCCAGGATTCCCATGCTTCCCCTCCCATCTTTTCTTCTACACAGAAGGAAAGAAACTATTTAACACAAAACTACCCTACTGATAGCGCAAGAGGAGACCCCTCAGAAGATTGGTGTTTCAAAAGCCAGCACATGAGAGGAAATGTAATGGAGGACATGTTAGTCCTCTGCTGATACGTGAGCCATGCGTGGAACAAGACAGGCATGGAAGTGAATGTGAGAGTCGATAAAATGCAGAGTTTGTGGCCATTTCCCCCGGAACCAATTCTGGTTAGTGGGATCAAAAACCAGCCTGTGTCTCTGCAGCTGGTCAGTGTTATTGTCTGTGATTGATTAGTTAGCTGAGAGATAGATGGGTGTGTGAATGGTTTGTGACATTTGTGAGTGGTTAAAAGTGAGAGACCAGAGATTGCGAGGAGGCAAAACCTAGACTTCAGTTGCAGTGATGCCTTTTGATTAACAGAGAAACTAGAGGGGAGCAAGGAAAGCCAGGGGGAGGGGAGGAGGTCGGGCCCCCCGGGAGCTCAGCATGCAGCCAATACCTGGATGTCGTATACGGGTTTGGAAGAAGGAATGGCAGCAAACTGTCGGTAGTCAAACTTCTTTGACGACAGGGACTAGAAGGATAGCAAACAGGAATGAGCAGAGGGAGAGGGGAAATAGGAAAACAAGGACAGAGAAAAAGGAGGAGGGTGGGACAATGTATAGAAAGGAAGAGAAAGGGGTGGAGAAGGAATAAGAGAAAGGAATGAGGAAATAGGTGGGAGGCAGAGAGGCTAATGGGTGATTCAAACAGCCAGCTGGCATATGATGGCAGAGCAGAGTGTGTTCTCAGCTCTGATTGGCTAGAGTGATAATGAACAAGATGGTGGATTAATGCCAGAAATGCGTTTGGAAGCAAATGTAATTTCCCTTCTCCGGCCTGTAACCAAACAACCTCATTTGTTGCATTTCTCAAATAAAGCTCCTGAAATGAAACTGCAAAGTCAGCGTTACATCTTTGTTGAAATATTTGATAATTCACGCTGGTCACACTGACACAAAGGCCAGAGGGGAAAAAAAAAAAATCAATCAAAACCAGTTTGGAGACTAAGAAAAAGGAATATGTTCAGTGCTTACCAGCCGGCCTGGAGAGGTTAGTCCTCGAGGACTGAGCTCTGTCAGAGGAAAACAGAAAATGTCAAGTTAGAACAGAAAGGCAAGGAGGGCTGGGAATGACATATCAAGCATTAGATTATATTTGCTTGCACATACGTAAAGATGTAATTAGATTTTAAAACAAAAGTTAGAAAGTGCAAAATATCAGGTACAAATGAGGGAATAAAAGTAAGAGGTTTCTTAAAAATAAATCAATTAAATCTGATGATCTAATAGAAAGAGGCATATATTCTGAAAATTAGGAGCAACGTTTCCCTTCACTTCATCTCTGTCATGCTGGTAGTTTTGTATACACTTGTTGCTAAGTACAGGAAATACAGTGCCCTGTTGAAACTGGTTCTGCTGTTTGAAATGAATCTATTTCAACAAAGTAATGCTGCCATGTAAACAGCCCTCAGCAGCGTTAAGGACAGCAGCTTCCTACCTTCCATAGGTGTTGGAGAGGGTGTGGGGGCGGGCGAGGGCGACTCCGTCAGTTGGTCTAGTGTCCCACGTTTCTTCCCGTCCCGAGACTTGGCGATGACCATCTGAGCCTTCAGTGCATCCTGCTCCAGAGACTTCATTCTACAAGAGGAACAGCCGCCATCAGATAAATGGTAGAACATAAGAAAAGACTTAAAGAAACACAGAGACGAAGACTGACAGAGGCACATACACCGCTATAATGGGCGGGTGTAGTGCCCATCACGACTAATTTTGGGTGCTCCTTGTCCTGGTTTGCTGTGACAAACAACCGGTTTCAATTTAATTGCGTAATAAGAGGCATTCCAGGAAAAGGACTACCTACTGCTAGTAGGCTTACCCTCAACTCACAAATAGCTTGCATACTTACTGCAGGCTGTGTGTTAGTACAAATAATAGTAAGAAAATCAAGAGAACAGCAAGGCGCAAATGAAAAGAGTGCTGCAGAGAGGCGGGGAGACAATACAGAGAATAAAGAGGGGGGACCAGATGAAGCTAGAAACAGCAAAGACGTGCAGTAAGCAAGATGGCACTAGAAAGGCAGTGGAAGCACTGTCGCAGTGTTGCTGCGAGTGCTTGCTTGGACCTTTCCAAACTCGGCCTCTAGCAAAATACCCCAATGCCAAAGCACCCCAGCACACCCCCACGATGCCGTGCGTCTGGCCCTAGTGGCTGGGGCCGAGGAGCAGACCTGAGCTGGGAGGCTGCAGAGGAGGTACAGGAGGAGGTGGGGGGCTGGGGGGCCTCTGCCGTGCCCTGAGAGGCCCTCACTCTGGCCTGGTAGAGCCTCTTAGCCAGGTCCTGCTCATACTGCCTAACTTCCTCCTCTAGGCCGTAGGGCCTGAGCCCCGCGAGGCCAGGGGAAGGGTGAAGGAGGAGGAGGAGGAGGGGGGAACAGGATAGGTACACCAGGATGCAGGACGAATATGAGGAGGAGAGGAAGGAAGAAAAGGCACACAGACAGAAAAAGAGAAGAAAACCAAAGAATGGAAGGTAAAACACTGACACATTTAGGAGCCAAGAACAATAACTAAGATCCCATTTTTAGAAATAAGTAGTGAGACAGAGGCGGCAGACAAAAGAACTGAACTTATATTTGGGCTGGCTGTAACTGAACAGTTATTGACGAGTCGGACAGTTGACAAAAGTCCTTTTGTACTTGGTGTTATTTACGCACGTGCTTCTCTCCCTACATCCACGTGCTTCCATCGGTCAGTGTTATCATCCCGGTCAAGGTTTATATCAGTACAGTCGTGCTGCTCAAAGAAAACAAACCGCCCCTCTTCTGACTGAAGTGTAAACCCACTTTGGTGTGCACATATAAAGCTGAAAATATTAATATTAGTGTGGAAAGATGCAAAGGGTGTCAAAGTCTCAAAACGATCAGGAGACACAACTAACGTGAGCCTCTGCAAGACACGCTGTGGACGATGTCCCCATTTGACCCACACTACTTACTAAAGAATCCGTGTATTTGTTCTTTCATTATTTCGTTTCAAAACCAAATCGGAAAAAACAAGTTGTTTTGGGGGTTTTCTGTTTTAAACCCATAACGGAAAACAAAGGTGATGCGTTTTGTTCTATCTTTGACCGGCCTGTGGTCAAGGCTGATCTGAAGCAGCTGGTTACCCGAGCGATCTAAGAAAATACCCGAATATGTTTATCAAGGATTTTTTCTCGAGGCTACGACCAGGGTGCGAACTACGGGGGAGCTTTACTCCTCTTAATAAGACATGAGCTCCCCTGAAAACATGATTTCTAATATTTTGGGGGGTCTCTAAAATATCGACAATATGCTATTTTTTGCAGCCTATCATCGTGGATCATGCGTAATCAGTTGCGTAAGGCTTCATCCAGCCAGAGGGATCACCGACTGTCCACAGCGCACCAGGTCGCACCCGCGACCTCCTCTCTCTCGCCCTGTACGCTCCAGCGCCCGCTCCCTCTCCAGCAGTAGACCTACCACGGGTTGTGTTGCAAGTGGAACTGGCGCACTGGATGGTCAGTGGTCGTTCCCTCTGGCTGGATGAAGTCCGACGCTCCTAATACAGCCTCCGGTGCTACAGCTATATAATATTGTCCTGCTTTTCTAAAAACTAAAAACCCACTTATGTTGATGTTCAAGCTCATCTTAATTACATTTAATCAGGCACCGCCATCGATCAACTGTATCGCAGGTTTATCAAGTGTAACACAAATCAGACTCATTAAATATCAAAATCAATATTTTTCCGTTATGGGTTTAAAACCAAAAAACAAAACAGATGTCTGTTATTCCAGTTTTCCGTTTTAAAAAAACAAAAAACAACTTGGTTTTTCTGATATGGTTTTGAAACGAAATAATGAAAGAACAAACCATACACGGATTCTAAAGGTTATTACAGCTTGTTTGAGTTTGTATTGATGCTGAAATGGTTGATTGATTAATAAGAGGTTTAATCAACTGACAGACATTTTTAATTCTGAACTAATTAAGTGAAAAATGTTTCAGAAAAAGTCAAAACAGTTGCTGGATAAATCTGGACAAGATTTGTTTGTTTTTTTATATCATCAAATATTTAATGTTGTATGTGATGTACTCTGACCAGCAGCCATGACATTTCATGATCACATTATTCAAAAATAAGCCAACAGTGGAAAACACTGATGAACAGTTGCACTAGTTAACAGGTTTTCATTTTTGTTTTCAGAGTGAGTCTCCTTCTTCCAACACAGTGTTGGAAGAAGGAATTTTAACTATGAAAACTGGTTCTTTTTTTCTTTTTACACATCCCTGTTAATTTCAAGTTTCTAGAAATACAAGGAGAAAACACAAAGTAAAATTATTGCAATAAAAATACATTTTGTAGTCAGAAAGTGTTAAATTTACCGTGCTGCCCTCCACATGGCTCTCTTCTCAGCCTCCAGAGCTCGTTTCTCAGCAGGGGACAGGTCCTTGTCAGGGGCCACAGTCAGCTCGGGGCTCTGCATACGAAGTCTGTCTTGGTGTCTGCGCTCTGCTTTGGCAGTGCGGATTGGAGCCGCCGTCTCTCCGGGATACACCGGGATCAGACTGACAAGACATACAAGTAGCAGTGATGACTATGGTGACAAAAACAGCAGCAAAGAAACATTCAGATATGTTGTGTACGATGTAATTACCCAGTCATGGAGTTGGGCCTCTGCTCCAGCCTGAAGCCATCCTCCAGTGAATTCCTCTGAGAGTCTCCCTTACCATCAACAGAGGATGGCCTAAACACACAAAAAACTATTAGCTGAAGAAAGCTGGATCAAGGATTAAGGATATCTTTATTGTCCCCGAGGGACAATTTGTTGTACAGACAGCAGTGAACACAAAACTATCAACAGTCATGACTTACAAACAAGCAATATCAAAATAGGCAAAAGAAATACACTATGTTAAAAAGACCACAGTTAAAGTAAGGAAGGAAGCAACCTCTCAAACAGAGGGTGGGGGTGAATGGACCTTCTTCAAAGATCATGTTGGGATTCAGTTAAACAAAATCCATCAACCAACTAATCAAACCAGGATCAATATTGTGGATGGTCTCAAGTATACCTGCTAAAATATGGGGCTGGAGCTGGATACAATTAAAGCTGAGGAAAAATCTATAAAAACTAATCGTACAAAAGTATTTGCACCCTCCAAGTGTTCCAACATCATACTCAATAGAGTCCAGACCTACAGGCAAACTGGAATGGGTCCAGGTTTGTTAGCACTATTTCCAAAAGTGCCTCTTTTATAATTTTCTCAAATGCTTTCATAATAAGTGAGGTAAGTGCCACGAGCCTATAGTCATTAAGTGACTTCTAAGTGTAAAAGTAATAATAAAAATACTATACAACTTCTCACCCTGAGCTGCCACAGTAGCTCGGTGGTGTGGCGTTGTAGCTTGGTGGTGTGGAGCAGTGCTGGGATGGGGTGGATACTGGCTCCACGTTGTACTCCACTCCATCCAACAACACTTTGCCGGAGGCCTTCATCTGTGCCACCTGCTTAGCCAGGTCCTCCTCTTCCTCCTCGTCATCGTCTTCATCCAGCAAGTACTCCCGCGCCCGCTGCTCAAACTTTCTCTCTGGGGCGATGAACAGATGAAGGTTTGCAAATTTCGAAAGCAGGTTAGCAAAGTCAGATGTTTTTATTAGTTACTGTGATGGAAACAAACCTTCTTCCTCCCTCATTTTCTTGAGGTCATCTTCTCCAACAAGAGAGACTCGAGGTTTAGGTTTGTCTGGCGTCTGCTGCTTCACATCAATCTCAAAATACTTCTGTCGGTCCCTGAACGAGCGCTGCTCTGGGGTGCCCCTACCACTGGGAGAAGGACTCTGTTGGGTTACAAAGAAAAATCAAGGACACAACACAGAAAGATGAATATTGCAACTGATCAGATCATAGCACCTGAAGCAGCTGCAATATTTAGAAATGACAAAACAGCAAAATAAAGACCAATATTTGCTGCTAAAAAAGTAGATTTTTATTGATATTTGCATTGTTGCAGAGCCATTTGCCAAAAGAGCAGAGGATGTCACAGGACATACCAGAGAAGAAAAGTACGACAGACCAGGAAGAAAAAAATTTGCCATTAAAACAGAACCCAGCACCATTTAGCCAATTCAACATCAATTAAATTGGCAGTCCCATTATTGACAGAGGTAACACGGCTGTCTCCCTGAGAGCAGAGACTCCACCACCGGTCAAGCCAAGCACACCACGGCCCAGACAAAGAACAGGGCTGCTTCGACATGTGGCGGAGGCGGTGGGTACCTGCAGGTCCGTGGAAACCCTGGAGAGGCGAGGCACTGCTGCCAGGCTGATATACTCCCGACGGGGGGAGAACTTGCTGCTCACACCCTTACCAGCTCCCTCCTGACCATCTATGTCATCATCAAACACCTCGTTGTTCAACTCAGGCTGAAAAGGCCACACAAGTTGTCACCGGACTGAGAGGACGAACAGCCAGTGGATTGTTTTTTTGTTTTTTTTCATAGTATGTAACTACAGTAACCTTACAGCATATTTAGACATGCTGTGATATTTTGTTTTTGCAGCTGCAGATTCAATATTCACTGTTTGAATACCATATTGGCCTGATAAGGAGACCACCCCCCGTTTTCACTATCTGTTTTTGGAAAAATACTTGATTTGTCCTGCTGGGAAAATTGGGAACTCCTGCACGTTGAAACTAACTTTAAAGCATCAACACAGCTACAAACAACCCATAAAGCAACACTGGTACTCTCTTCACTCAAAAGAAACATCTGATGTTGTGAACATGTAAATGTCTAGTCCTGTAATATAATACAACTGCCACTTTATCAAGGAAAATAATCTTATATTTGGTCAAACACGGTACAACAGACAGCTGTCATCATGTTCACTCACCTCTGGAGAAGGTTGCTTTGGGTGGAAATTGTTCCTCACACCATACAGGTCCTGTTGGAGGAGCACAGTGTTAGTAAAATGAAAAAAAAAATTCAGACTTAAGGACGAAGACAGAAATACAGAGCAGGCAGACTGATTAGCAGCTGAGATACAACATGTGGGGGGGACTGAATATTAGTACACGAGCCACACACGGATGAATGGACCAAGACTCAACACCGGTATGGACAGATGATGGCACTGGAGAACAAAAACCAACGATGAACGCATTCCACACGTCACAGCACGTCACAGGCCCCCCCGACAGCGCAGTCTCATTATAGGACAGCCTGCTGCAGTCAGGAGGGGGCGGGGTGAGACCAACCAATCAGCACAGCATGCTTTTGTCGTTGTGACCCGGAGGAGTCCGGGCAGCACGGCCTACCTGCGGCGGCTCCAGCACTGCCAGTGAGCGAGGCACAGCGGCAAACGCCTTGTATGCCTGCTTGACATTCATGGGGAACTCGTCGGGCGAGGTGGGGGAGGGGGCGCGAGGCTGCAGGGGGGGAGGGTGGGTGGGCATGGAGGGGATGGGGGGGTCCATATGGTAAAGGAGCCGAGGGGAAGAAGAGGAGGTGGGAAGGACGGACAGACAGAGACATGGAGGAGAGGGTAGACTATGAACCAGCAAAACCAGCAAAGTTGAAGAAGACTGTGGAGGAGAACAGGTGAACAGCATGGCGGCTGGTTTCATGTGAGATAGGAGGGGAGTATGCCAGAGAAAGACAGACAGCAGGGCTCGGAAAGCCATGGCAGATTTTTCTGTTTGTGAAACAATCAGGAAGACGTCTATGAAGATTCTCAGTCATCCAGGTCATAGTTATAGATATAGTAAAGGTTAAAGTCAAGGGCAACTGGACTTGGTTGAAGAGTCCAGTTGCCCTTGACTTTAAGCTTCGTTGGATAATCAGGAAGACGTGAGATGAAACATAGCTTCCTCAACATTTACCGATTCAACTATACTGCTTGCTAAAGGAAGAAATAAGTTTCAGAAAACTGCAATTTGAGGAAGTTTGTCTAATTCAGGAGCTCAGTCGGGCTGGATGATCCGTTTGCAGGTGTAGCTCAAACACAGATAACCTCCAGGTGTGCCTGGAGCACCTGCACAGACTCAAGTCTTCCGTCATTTGGTTCTAGCCTCTTAAGAAAATCCTAAGTACCTGCATCTCTGCTGTACTGCTGTGAGACACCACCTGAGTGTTTTGGGGCTGTGCAGTCAGAGCAGGCGGCACAGAGCTGAGAGTGGATAGAAAACAGCACTATGTGGTGGTGAGGGGTCTTACAGAGGTCTGGGAGTTGAAGGGGGAGGGGCCATGCTGGAAGGGGTTGGGACTGTGACCGTCCGGAGTGGCAGGGGAGTTACTCTGGCGCACGCGCCCAACTGGCTGGATGGCACCCGGTCGCGTCTGGAGGGAAAACAAAAGATATTTTATACAAGAGATCAGTCAGGTCCCCTCAGTTAATACGGCATAAAATTACAAATCACAAACTTAGACCATTGGTTAAAGGAAAAAGCCCTTGTGAAAATATAAAGCGTTACAAGCTGACGAATCAAAAGTTATTGAAGCTAATGGTGCACACAAATCAGATCACAATTAACCATTCAGATTTTTTGTCTATGGTGTCTTACAATCTTAGGTTCTTTTTATCCCCAATGATTACAAGCACCAAGTGTCCATCCACAAAAGTTAGGAAAAAACAAACAAACATTTTTTCTTGAAGGTCAAGGCTCTTTGAGATCTAATAATCAAGTTAAATGCCTGGAAATCATACTATATATAAACAATTATTTTACAGAAAAAACTTTTAGTCTCATTGGCATGTCTAACTGATAAAAGACATTTACTAAAAAGGCGAGTATATATTGGCTTCATATGTTGGTAAACGGGCGTGCTCACTCCAACTCTCATGTACTACAAAAGTTATTTTCTGTAGCTCTATAGACACTCACTGATGAGGAAATGTCATCCTTGGCAGTAGGAGATGAGGTGTAATGAACGTTGGCCTGTAAAACAATGAAAATAAAACAATGACAATGAAATGAAATGCATGGATCTACACCCTCTGCTAACCAACAGTGCATATAATCACTACAATTTAACTACTGGAGTTTCTTTAGGATGATGCCAGGCCAAATGAAGACACTATCAAACAATGCAACACCACCAGGGTTTACCTTGAGCTCATGTGATCACCAAGTGTGGGCCCTTTGTCTCACTTTACCAGACTGATCTCTCAGTTCCTCTTATAAATTATAAATGTAAAAGACTGGTAACTTTGCTCAAGGAAAAATGGAAGTTTTATTTTGTTATTGTCCTGTGAATAATATGAAGTCATAACTGGTCAGTAGATATATTAAGGACAATCAGTCAAAAATCTATTCTCCAGTAAACGCATGAGGCAAAAGCATCAGTAATCAGCTGGGCAGGGAGAAGCACACATGCTTTTCAGACTGGTAGGACTGTGGCAGACACGGTAGCTGAACTATTTATGTTTTATTAACATATAGAGGGCTCAGAGCAGCCGACACATATGCTAAAAAAAAAAATCCAGGCCAGAGCAGAGAGGGTCACAAGACCCACTTACGAAGCGTGTCTCCCTGCCTGCACACAGGCAGCTGTTGGAAGAGTGGTGGCTGGGCTACGGGTGGGAGGAAAGGTCAAAAGGGTAAACTATAAGATACCTCTTCTATAGCGGTAGAAATGACTAATGGAAAAGGAGACAATAAAGTAAAAAGATGGCAGGACAGCAGGTGATGAATGTTGGACAGGAGCGCTGGGTGTTAGGACTGCTCACCGGTTGGATGATGGGAGAATAAGGTGCTTCCCTGATTGGGCTGTCCGTCCTGGTGAAATCAGAAGGTGGCGCCTGGAAAAACATGAAAAATACACTTAACAGCTGCTCTTACTTTTACTCAGAAACCCAAAACAAGATTCACTGGGTCAGTCCTGTAGAAAACTTTTTGCTGATCAACATGCACTTTTCTGTGCGTCCCGCAGGTCGAGGTCCTTCGTGACTCATGACCTCCCGCAGCTGTTGGGGACAGACATTCCTGTCGATCCTGACTATGTGCTCAAATACCTCACGAGGTGCTACAAGCTCTGTGCTCACAGCAAAAACATGCACCAGTTCAGTTGGTTGTTACACAGAGATACACACAACCTGGACGCATACTTCCTTAGAGAAAAACGATTTCTCGATGGACCTTTGCACTGTGAGAATCTTTTTTTTTTTTTCTTACTCCTCCTCTGCAGGGAAACAGTTAAGCTAGCACTAAAAAACCCAAGTGCATGGATGTGATATCCACTGGGGCCAAAAACAGTGGAAAATGTCAATCCCACTTTCTCAGAGCCTGAAGTGAGGTTTTTGAAACTTCACTAAGAAACCCTATTCACATTAAACATTGTCACTTGATATATTATTATAAAAATATTGATTGTAGTCGTTGGTTTTTAATGTCTTTAAAATTTTTTCCAACCAACCCAAAGAAATAGTAAAAACGATGTATAACAGCAAAATTTCACATTTAAATAGTGGCAATCAGATAATTGTCATTTTATCTTAAATATGTTCTCTATATGATTAATTGATCTTGATTTCTGTTGACTGTTGCAGTTCTACGTCCATCTTAATGACACAGTATTTGCAGTCTTCGGATACATGCCAACTACAAAATAAAACCTTCTTGTCAAAGTCTTGATGCATATGATCCATTTCAAGGGACACAAGTGAGCCAAACCACAAACTGTGCGCAGTAACACACCATGCTGCCTCCAAACCACACTCAGGCAGGCAGCTTGCCTTGCTGAACAACCAGGGCTGCAGCTGGCCTTGCTTCCCATAACCCACAGGAGGCCCCGACAGGATCTGCTCTGAGGGTGGACGACCCTTTCCTTTGCGATTGGCCACCAAGAAAGGGTTTTCTTTAAAGCAGACTGGCTGAGAGTCCACCATGGATTCCTCTTCTTCAGCTACAAATGTTGATGAATTAATGGTTGTTGATGAGCCAGCACTGTCAGTAGTGGAGGTCCCATTAGGAGAGAAGTGGGATCCATGAAGGTAATCTGTGCGTTCATACTCAGGCAGATGCTGTGTGTTCGGACTCGGGCAGGACTCCATGTGGCTGAGGGGGTTGGTGGGGTGGCCTAAACCGAAAGCCAGAGGCTCTAAAGGGGCTCCGTACTGGGCCTGCAGGGGGGCCTCCATGGGAGCAGTCAGACTTAGAGAAGTAGAGAACTGGACAGGAGCAAATGAAAGAAGCAGGACAGATACAGTAAACTGACATAACAAGGACTGACAGGGAAAGTCACTCACTCTAGTTGTAAAGGCAATAAAAATAAAAGAATAACAACTGAAACGGAGAAAGGAGATTTAGGGATAACCCCGGTTCATACAATCTTTATTCTATTTTCGTAGGTTTCACCATTATCACCAAACTCACCAAAGTAATTGCTGAAATCTTGGAACACTATGACACTTGAACATCTTTTTTTGGAGGTAAAGCCTGTGTAGCAACCACACGTAATGTTGTGTGCTCACTTTAATCCCTCCTTTCTAGGGATGCACCGAATGTTTGGCCACCGAAATTAATCAGCCAAAAATAGCAAAAAAAGCACTTTTGGTGTTCGGCCAAATACGTCAAAAGATCGAAGAAATTTTACTGAACAATTATGTTGCCATGTCGGCAGTGTGGACGCATTTTTAAGTGTTTGAGAAAGATGCAAAAATCGCCGTTTGCAGACACTGCTCTGTTGCATTGTTTCCTAGCACATCCTCTCCCTCTGTGGCTGACTTCTTAGAGAAGGCAACAAATGATCTGACCCACTTTGAGTGTTTCAGTGCATCCCTACTCCTTTCACAGGAAAACTGTATACTAACTATTTCAGTACAGAAGGAAGCTGGTCTATAAACTGTGATGGATGTTAAAACAGACAATGTGTATAATAATTTTAATGCTTCGCTTTAGTTTTCTTTAACCTGAGTCTCAGTTTTCAAACTTGTCTGATCTGACTGCTTGTGACTGACTTCTTTTAAGCGTTGTTGCCGCATCTAGAGACCTCAGAAATTAACTTAGTGAGGATACTGTTATCACAACTGGTAGCTAAACCGACAAAGGTAAGATGCAAGCGGTAATAAACCAGAAAAAGTGGTTAAGTTAAAATATATCTAAAAAGGCTGCCAAATTCATCAAAAATAAGAAACTTTTGGTAAATAATATAATAAAAGCAACCTTTTACAAACTACCAGTTAATGAAAAGAAGGACGTTTGTGTGTGTCTATAAAAAGACCCTTAACATGCAAGACTCTAGCTGCTAAAAGGAGTTACTCACATCACAAATTCTGGGGCCTTAAAGAGAAGTGTCACTTAATCTTTCAAGACTTGTTAACCAATGCTGTATGCTAGCAGACACATTACTGCAGTCTAGGCTCTTGGCCTCCGCCTTAAATAAGCATATTATCAGATCAGCGAGACATTCAGGCTCCAGCACACCTTCAACTACTACTGTACTTATCACAGAGATGTCATTGTAAGAGGGGGAGAAAATATGCAACGTTTAACCCGAGCCCATGTAAAGAAACCCGATACCGTAAGTGCAACTATAGACGTGTTGGGTTTTAAAAAAACCAAAAGCGAAAAAAATACCTCCACCCAGGTAACTAACATATTTTAGAATTTGTCTGACGTGACCTTGACATGTGTGTTGATAATTAAAATAGCCGGACTAAGAATACAACAAGCATTGTGAGGCAGTAATGTGGCTCTCTACATGCTGACTGTAAGAGTCAGTGGTGTGAGGAGGGTCAGTGGGGTGGAATGTGAATGAGTGCCCTTTAGGCTCCGACACAGACAGTGAGGGACAGCTGGGGTTTGGCGTGAGAGCGAGGCTGCTGGTTCGTCAGCATGCCACCACACGGAGATCACCATGCTGGGAAGAGCTGCACGTCTAAGGAACCAGGAACTGAATCATTTTTACTCCCTACATGTGATAGTGTAGTCACTGCTTCTTAGAAGATTGCATTAGCATGATAGATCATTAGAGTGTTAAAAATTAGACACTGACTCGTTTTGGCATCTGCACCCTGAAACATTTTTTTAGCTCCCATTTCTTAATGTCATACACAATGAATACCTGTCTTCATCTTAATGAAGCTTGGTGGGCCGTAAACACCAACCACAATGATGGAAAGAAGTCTAGAAATCTATTGTTCTCGTCAGGGATAAAATGATGATGTCGTATTGTATTAATATATAACAATTCTGTCAAATAACCCACTTAAAAGTTGCTTCCAAAACATATTTCATCACCACGATTTTAACTCAAACCCCCTCCTTTTTCTGTGATGTTATAAAAGCTAAAAAGGGCAGCTCCTGTAGCACCTCATGCCTGACGCCTCACTACTTATTAGACTCTGGCCTGTTTACAGCATACTCAATTTTGCAGCTATAACTAAACTACTATTTTCAACAAGAACCACCTCTGGTTTTTAAGGTTTCTAAACCTTTGGTAACAACGTGCGGGGAGTTATAAAAGCACAATGTAATACAGTTTGAGTAGGACCACGTGTGCTGGAGCAGCAAATCCAGCTCTAACGCAGCGAGCACGAACAGCTGCACTTGAAACGTTGGTTACATTCTCCCAGACTATCTAACAGGCCAGAGATCTACAAGTAGGACACAACTTACATAATGCATTATTGTGAACCAAACAAACAACTTAGGAACTTAGTACTTGGTATACTTTGACGATGTGTATTTAGGAGCAATGGATGAAACAAGAAAATCCCCTAAAAAGTCTAAGCATAGAAGTCAAAATCATAAAACCTTCACCTAACGCAGATCAAAATAAAAATGGAGAATGAATCAAGACAGAAGTAACGACAAATACAAGAAAGACACAACAATAAAAAACACAAACCTGTGGGATGGTAACAAGACAGAGCAGTATGTCCACTCAGACTTACTCTGCTGAGGACTTTGGGAACTGAAACCTGTCTGTGCCTCTTCAATGACACCATCCCTCCCTGTCTGGCACCCCACCCACCCGGGAGACTCCATCCAGTTCAGAGCCAGATGCAGGTTTAAAATATCGCAGAGGATAGGCTGTTTGATAGTGGGCAGCTGTCCCCTTCCCCCATCTCGCCACCTCTTTCACACACTCACGCGCTTTATCCAACAGGACAGTGCCTGCCCTTTGGCCATGCTTCCTTTCAGTCTCACCCTCTTCTGTACTTCAGAGATACTAGTCATCTTTCTTCCACCGCTTCTTTCATTCTTTTTATTTTCTGGTCTTGATTCTGTTTCACTCTGGATGGCCTCGGTCTTTTCCTTCTTTTTCCAAACTTCTTGATCTTCACGTTATTTCTTCAATCCAGGTTAGGGTTACATCTGCTCTTGATGTAGGACACAGTTACGTCACGCTGACATGATATGTTGTATGGGCCTTGGAGCAACCGTCATTAACGTTGCCCTGGGGTTATGCACATTTAGGGAGGTTAGCATTCCTGCTCCTGGAGGGGCAACTGGTCGGTTCTGGGTCACTCAGTTTCCCAGGACATAAAAACAAAAGATTCCATGAAGGGGTCTATTCTGAGCCATGAAAGCCATTTCCAACAAAGCCCGAACAGAAACAACCAATTTACAACTTGACAGGACTGCTTTACTGATTTAGTTTATTTTCTATTGCCACATGAAGACATCAGAACACGAAGAGAGTCTTACCCTATTGAGTTTCTGCAGACTGGTTGTGGGCAGCGCAGCCAGGGTTTTGTAGTCAAGTTTTAGAGGTCCGGTGCCAATGTTCTACAGAGAAATACATAGAAACACGAAGTGAGAAGGGAACAAGGCTGGGGTTTGTTACACAACAAGCAAGAATCTATTTAAAGTGCATTAGTTTTACTGGAGGAGACTATGTATAGAAATGTAGCCAACCATTCCTATGAAGTAAAGGATCCACACTTAAATGTGAACTGGCTAGAGAAATTCCCCATAGGCCAATATGAGATGTGTTGTTATATTTAAAAGATAACTCTGGTGATATTCTACATTTTCTTTATTGTTAACAAATTCAGCTCAAAGATATTGATCCTACTAGCCTGTACACTCTAACCCTGGTGTAGCTTATTCACCACCATTCATTCATAGAGCTTCATTCTTGTCCAAAACCAATTAAAGACAAATGAATGGCCGTTGCACTGGTTGACATGTTCCTTCATAACAATGAACATGGGCACTGTAGTTTATATTGACTCAATCCCACAAACACCGTCCTGCCGCTGTAAAATAAGCATCAAATGTGTATTAATCCACAACTGAAATTCTCAGACAAATACAATATTTACACCTGTTCGAAAAAACTACAGTTCCCTGCCGTTTTTGAAAATTATTCATCCTTTTTTTAATATTATACATTTATATCCTGTTTTTCAAGATTTACATATGCAGGGTAAGCACAGTAGGAACAAATGGGCTTGTGGCTGACAGCAACAGACTGGCTGCAGAAGCCGTAAATTATTAAGAGACGGACTGTCATTAGGGAGTGCGGTCCTTTCTTGGGATTTCTTAAAATAACAACTACCCTTATCCTTTAAGGAAATGACAAAGGGAAACTGACTGCAATTATCAGACTGACAATAGCCATCTTTCTAACTGTCAAGCGTACTTTTGAAATGTTGCGAAAAAGCAAAATCAGCTGGTTTGGTGCGAATAAACCAGGCTATGCAAGCGTAGTTATGTCAGAAATTGATGTTACACATGGTTGTAATAAACAAGACGTATGGATTCCTAACCAGAAACAAAACCAGCCGCATGGAACTGAGGACCATTGATCTTAGAAAAATGGAGAGGTCCTCAGAAACATGTTTCAAGCAGGCAAGTTGCTACCAGCCACATGGCAACAGTTTATGGGAATATCCAGTGTTATGCCGTGTTTTGCATGCCTGCTGAGAATTTTATGCACCTCCAAATAATGCTTTAAAAAGCTATATCCTTTGTGTGGTTTATTAATGGTGATAAATGAATCGAAGTATATATTTTATGAACATTTAGAGTTGTTAATATTTTATTACACTCAGTAGAAGTAGCATTCATTGAGATTCAGCAAAAATATGCAGCGATAACCCCGTTTGATCAGTGTGCAGGGCAAAGTATCTGAAAAGGACCTTTAAGAGGTGAATTCATAATACGGCAGAACTTCAAAATGCGCATTAAAAAACGTTGATGGACACACAGTTTCTGACTTTACGAAGTAGATTTGTTTTTTGTTGTGGTCAACAAGAAGAATGTGGTTCAAGACTGATTTACTTAAAGAAAA